TTTTTTATCCTGGTTAAATAAAGGTATGAATGAATGAATGAATGAAAAATCATGGCCATTTAGCCAACTTCTCCTCACTGATGATGTTGTCTGTTGACACAGGCATCTCCTCCTCCTGAGTGAAACCATCAGGAAGCTCATAGAAGTGTATTCCAGCAAACTCTTAGATCTCTAAGCCATTAATAATGCAACTTGGTACCGCTTTATTATGACCCATGGTGCGCAAATGAATTTTTGCTCTTCATCTTCACCAACTTTTCTGAACAGAAGGTGCCTGTACTTCCTGGATCCAATAAAGCACATGTTTTGATTACTTTATTTCCCTTTGTGATTTTAACTTGGAAACCCAAAATAGGAAGAATGCCATTATCAGCCCCTGTATAGCCACAAGTTGAAGTAGTAGCACAACTCTCAAATCCTTTTTTGGTCAGTTCTGTATCTCCTTGGACAGCTCTTTCCTTTTTCTGCAATATGCAAAATGCTGGGATGAGTTTGGTTGCAGTGTCTGCAAGTAATGCACCTGTCACAATTCTTGCTTAAATTCCGTGGGCATAAATAACCAAAACAAAGACCTTTCTCCGTTAGAAAGTATAACTTATCCTCATGAGTCCTTTTCTCCAGTTGTGGACATTGCTCCAATGCATGGCCACGTGTACAATACAGACGGGAATTCGGGTTTGGCTTGTTGCAGGAGTTACCTTCTTTTTGTGCTTTATTCATTTGATCATCTAATTTTAACTCATCAGAAATACACATGAGTCGCAAAACTGTTTCTTTTGAAAGGTGGTTTCATTTGAGACTTACTTTTGATTCCTTTCTGAGATGGAGTGTCCTGTATGTCACCAAAGACTGGATCGGAAGCAATTCTGACCTGTTTCTCAATGAATTTGACACTGTCAGTAAAACAAGCTCTTTGGTTGATGTAGTCCAAGATTTGGCATGCTTGTACTCTCCATTGTTCTCTGAGCTTATATGGAAGTTTCTGAATCACAGTTCTCATGTTTGCTGGCATATTTAGCTCTTGTAGATATTCAAGCTCCGTCATAGCATTGGAACATTTACGCAGATACATTGCAAAAGCTTGGAGTCCTTTAATGTCCTCCGACTTGACAGTTGGCCAGCCAGTAATTTTTTCCATGTAGGCTGCTGTGACCTTTATTTCATTTCCAAAATGCTCCTTCAGTAGCTACTTGGCAACAGTGTAACCTCTGTCTGGTGCCATATGAAGACAGCTGCGTACAAGATCTCTTGGCTGTCCCTTAGTAAATTGTTCAAGATAGTACAGGCAGTCCCCCTTATTGTTTGTTTTTGCTTCCCGCGATGCTCAAAGACTTTCATAAATGGGTTAGGGTTGAGGTTTGTGATTGAACAAGGACCGATGTTATTTCATTCTGTCGCTGCAGCAAGCTGCACAGATCTCCTGGTGCTTGAATATTGCTGTCAGATGGTAGAGACGTATGGATGAATGCTGGGTTGGTTTGCTGTTCCAGAGGACCCAAAGTTACTGTAGGTATTGTTGGCATCTCTTGTTGAACTTTGGCATCATCATGTTTACTGTGGTGAGGTGGGTCCTTTAAATGATTTGATGACTGCCTATGCAAAGGCTCATTTTATTTCCATTTGGATTGGTAGATGCAGGTATGTATTTGTGTTCAGACCTCGTTTCAAAATAAGTCTCCATTCCATCTGATTTCACACTTGAAACATTTCTGTCACAAGCTTGGAGAAGAGCTAACTTAGCCATAGAAGTTGAAATTTCATTGTCCAGCTCAAGCTGCTCCTTTTTACTCCTTAAGTTCTGCTCCTGCAGCGCATGCATCTAGTGCAGCCTTGTCTGCCTCTGCTTTAACACCTGCCGATGAAGTATGAGAAGATGTTTTACCGCTTTTTGAGCTTTTTTGACTTGTTGGATAGAGGTATTCGATGCAACATTTGAGATACTGTCATGATGCTCAACCACAACCTCCTCTTTATCCTCATTACAATCAACAGGGTGACTTTGAACATCACACAACCAGTTGTTCACATCAGCAATAAACATATTCACATTTAACATTTTTGCTTGGTACCATACTTCATGTTTAGACGCTTCATCTTTAGGCAATAACCCCAGCAGAGTGACATGAATTTGTCTTGCTTCATCACAAATACCTTTGTACTTTTCAAAGTTTCTATCACCCATCAAATCAATGATTCTTTAACACAGACAATTTATTTAGTTTACTTTTTCTTTCCTTTTGTAAATTGTCCATTTTCCCACACAAAGCTTTGGGTGTTAATTTAGTAGAGCGCTTTTCCACAGAGCACCTTTCTAGTTCTCCTTTTACACTCCCATCAAACTCAGTCTCATTCCGAATCAGATCATCAGTCTGTGAGACGCAGGACTGCGGATTGTCCTCTTCCATAATTATTAGTCAGTAGCACTTTAAATACACAAAATGGCTTACATCCATGTCCAAGTCTTAATGCACACAGTTCAAAGCGATTGCAACCAATGCATTGGATTTACGTATTTGTAAGTGTGCACACATAACAATGGCCATTATTCAAATTTAATCAGCGCTGAACATACCCCAGTGTTGGCCGGCATAGATGCAGTGGCATCTTAATGCTGAGCCTAGATCACCTGGTATTGCTCCAGACACTCTGGCGCAGCTGCGATCTACCTTTGGTTCTGCTCCGGTCCAGCTTCGGTCCCGTCTCCAAACCGCGTTGATCCCCAATTGACAACGCGTAGATTCCCACAGATCCGAAGTGAAGCAGTTTTTAACTTTTGTAGTGACTATGCCCTATATTTAGCCGCTACTGGTTGCCAATTGACTTATTGTTTCTAACGTGTACCCGATGTTATGGTAAGTGGTGGTAAGGCAGGTTGGAGGACCCAAATGCAGGATGCAAGGCAGAGGAGGTACAGTTCAACGGGGGTTTATTGAGGGAAAACAAACAAAAGGCGAGCACACTTACTGACAGAGTGGCTGGTAGTAGAGTCCAAAAAACAAGATAATCCAAACTCCAAAGGAAACAAGGTGGCAAGACGAGCAAGGCAGACAACAGAAGATGGAGCATATCCACATGACAGACAGGGGGTAACTCGAACGATGACCGGACAAGGGCTGAACAGAAAGACCACACATATATACCAGGGATAACGAGCAGGGCGGGAGCAACACAGGTGACAGACATGAGGTTAACGAGGCACAGGTAGGGAGAGAGAGAGCAGAGGGGAGAACAGAGAGACAGTCAGGCAGAGGGATACTGGAGAGAACAGACATGACAGGTTACTGAACACATAACAGACTATATAACTGATACTGGACAGAGGATAGAACCAAAAACACTAAGACATGAACCGAGCAACAGAACGAGGTGCTAAGACACAGAATACAGAGCAGACTAAACTAAAATAATGCAGACGAGGAACAAGAAGTAAATACTAAAACATAACCAAGGCACAGGACTGGGAACAAAGACAAAGAACTAAAACACAGGACCAAGAGCTAAGATAAAGGACGAGACATAAACTACTAAGGACAAGGAACGAGAGAAACAGGCAAATAGACATATGAAACAATGGCAAAAAACTCAAACTCAGGGAAAAAACTACAACTCATAACACCTAAAAAACGATGCAGTCTTTTCCAAAAGTTTGCAGTTTTAAGGTGTTTATTTCCTGCATCCACTTACAATAAATAATATGTAAAATAAAGTAGAATAAACAACATAATCTGAGCACAGTTAAAAACTGTGTGCTCCTCTTCTTCAATTAACCACACCTGTTTGTAACAATACAGGAACTTAAATAGGCTGAGACCAGAATCGGCCTTACCACACAACACAATATCATGCCCCCTGTGGCTTGGACGAAAACAGGCAGTTTGCACTTGTTAATACTCGCTGTAAACTACTTCTACCAGTACATTATGCACAGAATCTACTACAGGAAATAATACATTTCCAAGAATAGAACACAATACCAATGAGGTAGCTGCTGATCAAGAGGCTGTCAGTCTGGCTGCTATTTAAGCAGGGGGATGGTCTGGATGGCGGTAGAGGATTGGAGGAGATAGCCAGAAGCCGCACCAATTGGAATAACGATCGGAAATCAAGAAGTAGGCAGGGCTTGCTTCAGCCAATCCTGACATTATCCCACACAATGATATAGGCTCTACAGACATGATTTAGCTCATCATGAAAGATTACAAATAGCTGCATAATATGACCAAATACAAGGTCTGTGTCCCACCACATCATCTTCCTATATAGCCTCACATGTTGATGATGTTGGCCCCGTGTTGTTCAGGTACATGGATGTACATGCTAGTTTAGTATTAGTCATTGGTGTCAATGGATTTCTTTATCCTGAAACTTTCATGATCTAAACATGGAATATTCATCATCAAGTTACATAAAGCTGTGCATTACTGTAAGAGTAATGCAGTAATTATCATTCTTAGCAGTTGTATCAATTGATAGTTAGATGATTGTAATGAAAGGAAAAGTCATCTGAAATGTAATGTGTGAATAGAGTTTTGAAAATGTAATACTTTTGTCATTTTGAACAGGTGACTTAAGTTCAATGGACAAATGATCTTGGTTTGGTTGGTATATGTATTGTATCCAAGCAACAAGAGTTCTAAAAAATGGGCATTTTAATTATAGGTTGTGAGTCTTGTGAACCTCAAGGTTCTAAAATTAGTCCCAAAGTGATTGTAAAAAAAAAAATTTTCTCAAAAAATGATTTAATTTGACATAACAAACCCTTTTGCACTTTGCACCGACAATTTTTTGAGATGCCCTTTTGATATACTGTAAAAATTTAAAAGAGAAAGTTTGTGCCTTGCAGTGCATTAGTAAATGGTTGAATAGAGGCTACTTAGTTTAAGTCGAGCATGTCGGTATTTTGCTACAATTGCTGGTCTCTTTTTCACTGTTGACTTTTATAATAAAATATGTATTTTGCATGACCTTATCTCACTGTAATATATTGTTCTATATTACAGTGTCTGCACTCAGAATTCTGCTGTTGGGGAAAAAAGAGGACAAAAAGACAAAGCTTAGCAACTTCATCAGTGGCAACATTCAACACAAGCAATTCAATTTGCCAAACCCTTTGACAACCAAACACAGTACAGTGACCCATGGAGAGTGGAGAGGAAAAACATTAACAGTAGTGAAAACTCCAGACATCTTCAGTCTGACTGTGGAGAAGCTGAGAAGAGAGGTGAAGAGCTGTGAGACTCTTTGTCCTCCTGGACCAAATGTTCTGCTGCTGTTAGTGGAGCCTTCTGATTTCACTGAGGAGAACAGACAAACACTGAAGTTCATCCTGAGTTTGTTTAGTCAAGATGCTTTTAAACACTCAATGGTCATCAGCACACATGATGAGGAGGGAGAGAATAACGTAGTCAAACAACTCATCCAAGACTGCAAACATAGGCAGCACATAATCCACTTTGACAAAAAAGGTCTTTTAAACAATGACCTACAAGAAGTGATCCAAAAAATGGAAAATATAGTGAGTGACAACAGAGGTGGATATCTAATGTTAAATGAAGAAGCAGATCGCAAATCCCCTCTGAACCTGGTTCTGTGTGGGAGGAGAGGAGCAGGGAAGACTTCAGCAGCCAAGGCCATTTTAGGTCAGACAGAGTTTCATTCAGTCTCCGTCTCATCAGAGTGTGTTAAACATCAGGGAGAGGTGTGTGGACGTTGGGTTTCCCTGGTGGAGCTGCCTGCCTTGTATGGAAAACCTCAGGAGGCAGTGATGGAGGAATCACTCAGGTGTATCTCCCTCTGTGATCCTGAGGGCGTCCATGCCTTCATCCTGGTCCTACCTGTGGGTCCCCTCACTGATGAAGACAAGGGAGAGTTAGAGACCATCCAGAATACATTCAGCTCTCGAGTCGATGACTTCACCATGATTCTGTTCACTGTGGAGTCAGATCCTGCAGCTCCAGCTGTTGTTAACTTTGTAAAGGAAAACAAGGACATCCAGGAGCTCCGTCAGAGCTGTGGAGGAAGATATGTTGTTCTCAACATCAAGGACAAGCAGCAGATCCCAGAGCTGTTGGACATGGTGGAAAAGATGATTCATTCTGAAAATAAACCATCCTGCTATAAAACTGTAACATTTGCACGTGCACAAATGAAAAAGCTCACACAACAAGAGAAACATATCAACAGGCAACAAGGTGAACTTGAGAGGCTGATTAAGAAGAACATGATCACTTGTAAGTACTTTGAATTAAATTGTTTTTTCTGTGTCCTGAACCATGTTGATCATCACAGTCTTGAGCCTTCACTGTAGCTGCTGTAAATATTTAACTAACTCCAGGTCTATTATATAGCAGGTGATGATGAGGAGCAGAGTCCAGAGAGTCTCAGGATTGTGCTGATAGGGAAGACTGGAAGTGGAAAGAGCTCTACAGGAAACACCATTCTAGGAAGAAAAGAGTTTAAAGCCAAATCAATTCAAACATCAGTCACCAAACCTTGTCAGAAAGCACAGAGTGAAGTGGACGGTCGTCCGGTCGTTGTGGTCGACACTCCTGGTCTGTTTGACACAACTTTGTCCCATGAAGAGGTTCATGAGGAGATGGTGAAATGCATCAGTCTTCTGGCTCCAGGACCACATGTCTTCCTGTTGGTGTTACAGATCGGCAGATTTACACCAGAGGAGAAGGAGACATTAAAACTCATCAAGGAAGGCTTTGGGAAGAATGCTGAAAAGTTCACCATCATTCTTTTAACTGGAGGAGATACACTAAAGCATGAGAAAGTGTCCATTGAAAAATACATTGAACAGGACTGTGATGATTCCTTTAAGAAGCTGATCTCTGACTGTGGAGGAAGATACCATCTGTTTGATAACTGTGATGAAGAAAACCGCACACAAGTCAGTGAGCTGATAACCAAGATTGACAGCATGGTGAAGGAAAATGGAGGCAGCTGCTACACCAATGAGATGCTGCAAGAGGCCGAGGCAGCTATAAAGAAAGAAATGGAGAGAATCCTGAAGGAGAAGGAAGAAGAGATGAAGAGAGAGAGGGAGGAGCTTCAAAGAAAACATGAGGAGGAAATGGAAGAGATGGAAAGAAGAATGAAAGAACAGAGAGCAGAAACTGAAAAGGAGAGAAAACTGAGAGAAAAACAACTTGAAGAAAAGGAGGAAAAGATAAATAAGGAACAAGAGGAGAGACAGAAAGAACAGGAAATGAGAGAAGAAGAAGACAGGAAGAGAAAACAACAGGAAGAAATTCAAAGACAGGAGTGGAAACGAAAAGTTGAAGCTTTGGAGCAAAATATAAGATCAGAGTCAGAAACAAAAGAAACCATTGACAGAAAGCTGAAGGAGAGCAGAGAAGAGATGAGAAAAGAACGAGAGAAATATGAGAAAGAACAAAAAGAATGGTGGGAAAAACAAAAACAAGAAGACGAACAGAGACGACAGGAGGAACAAACAAGACTTAGAAAGCTTCAAGAAGAATATGAACAGGAAAGAGAAAATTATGAAAAGAAAAGAAAGGAAGAGGACAGAATCAGAAGAGAACAAGAGGAAAAAGAGAAAGAAGAACAGAGAGCAGAAATTGAAAAGGAGAGAAAACTGAGAGAAAAAGAACTTGAAGAAAAGGAGGAGAAGATAAAGAAGGAACATGAGGAGAGAAAGAAAGAACAGGAAATGAGAGAAGAAGAAGACAGGAAGAGAAAACAACAGGAAGAAATTCAACGACAGGAGTGGGAACGAAAGGTTGAAGCTTTGGAGAAAAACATAAGATCAGAGTCAGAAACAAAGGAAATGATTTACAGAAAGCTGAAGGAGAGCAGAGAAGAGATGAGAAAAGAACGAGAGAACTGGGAAAAAACACAAAGAGAATGGTGGAAAAAACGATATCAAGAAGATGAACAGAGACGACAGGAGGAACAAAGAAGACTTAGAAAGCTTCAAGAAGAATATGAACAGGAAAGGGAAAATGATGAGAAGAAAAGAAATGAAGAGGACAGAATCAGAAGAGAAAGAGAGGAAAAAGAGAAAGAAGAACAGAGAGCAGAAATTGAAAAGGAGAGAAAACTGAGAGAAAAAACTTAAAGAAAAGGAGGAGAAGATAAAGAAGGAACATGAGGATAGAAAGAAAGAACAGGAAATGAGAGAAGAAGAAGACAGGAAGAGAAAACAACAGGAAGAAATTCAACGACAGGAGTGGGAACGAAAGGTTGAAGCTTTGGAGCAAAATATAAGATCAGAGTCAGAAACAAAGGAAATGATTGACAGAAAGCTGAAGGAGAGCAGAGAAGAGATGAGAAAAGAACGAGAGAACTGGGAGAAAACACAAAATGAATGGTGGAAAAAACGTTATCAAGAAGACGAACAGAGACGACAGGAGGAACAAAGAAGACTTAGAAAGCTTCAAGAAGAATATGAACAGGAAAGAGAAAATGATGAGAAGAAAAGAAAGGAAGAGGACAGAATCAGAAGAGAAAGAGAGGAAAAGGAGAAAAACGATATAGAGGAGAAACATAAGAAAGAAGTGGAGAATCTGAAAAAGACACACGAACAGGAGGCCAGACAGAAAGCTGAAGAGTTTAATGACTTCAAAGAGAAACACAAAAAGGAGTTTACAACTCTGAAGCAACAGCATGAGGAAGAAATGAAAAAGAAAGATAAACAATATGACATCTTAAAGGCACTTTCAGCTCACAATGAAGAACAATTAAAGAAAGAACAAGAAGAACTAAAGAAAACTCATCAAGGCGAGATTTATGAATTAGTAAAACATGTGACCAAAAAGGCAGGAAGTCTGGAAAAAATCAACAACTTACTGACAAAACACAAACAAGAAATGGAAAAGGAGACAAATGAAGAGGGAAAGAAAAAACTGAAGGAAACGCATGAAAAACAAATAATTGAATCAATACCGGAAATTATGAATCAAGACGACTCAACGTTTTGGACACGTTTGACATTCTTGGTTCTGAAAATCTTTGGTTTCAATGAGTGAAAGATTTAATTGTAATATTTTGCAGTGGACCACTTTATTTAGGTTGATGAGCGAATGATGGTGATATTCAACTGAAACACAGCAGAAGTCACTCTTAAAATCAAGAACAAACATTTATTCAAATTTCAATTCAAACGTTTCTTGTTTTTTTTCTGTTTTCTGTCTTGGGCATTTGCTGATCTGTCCCTCTGGGTCAGCTCCAGTGTAGAGTCTGAGAGATTTCTGGATCTTTTTGGACTCTTTAAGTGACAAAATGTTGATTTCAGTCTGTCTGTATTGATCAATCAGGCTTTTAGTATCTAAATCACTCAGTGACTCTGTTCAGTCAGTTGTTTCAAACTTCTGCTCTATTTTACTGAAAATAATTGTTTCCTCTGTAACATTCAGGTTCTTCTCTGTTTCACTGGGTTTTCTGTAAAGTTTATATATTATATATTTAGAGATATTAGTCATTTGGTTTGACACCTCTAATAAGTTGAGCGTTGTAAAAAAGGGTGAGCTGCTGTTTCAGCCTGCACATTTTCAGTCTGTAGAAAATCTTTCTGCTCTGTTGGTTTTCTTTTCTTCTTTTAAAACTCTTTTGCTGGGAATAATTGCCTTTTCTTTTCTTTTGTCCTAATAGTTTGTGTAATTATTTGCTGCTAAAAACAGACAGCAGCTTAGTAAAGAAAGACTTCAGCAGCTGAAGCTCTGCTCGCTCATTACAGATGATCTTTGTTTTCTTTTGAATATGAGAAAGAACATGATGTTTGTGCTGGAAGTGAAATGAAATGTTTAGATGTCATTCACCCTGTTTTCTCTGCAAATCACAAATATCACAGCAAATATGAAACATTAAACAGCATGAAGATCATTTAAACTGCTGATCAGATCAATCAGAATGATGCAGAATGACATTATAGACGATGAACGCTCTGATGTTTCTTTGTTTTGTTCCATGTCAGATAAGACTGGATGCTTTATAACTGATGACATCAACTTAAGACAGAATTCAGATCAATCTTTAATCTTTGCTTTCGTTGTTTGTGCTTCTAAAAGATGAATAAACTAGATGATGAAGTGATGAAACAGAACAGAGCTCACAGGTTTGTTTCTACCTGCACAGAGACGCTGTGGGAGGAAGTGGCTTCTCTCTGAAACATCTTTATTCACCTCTCTGTTTATTTCTCTTCTCCTTGATCTGAGGATACTGCTGTTACTATGGATACTGTCAGAGTATCCAAGTATCCTGAGTGTTCAAAAAAGAAATCCAAGACTACAAAACATGAGCAGATACAATGATTTCAACACCTGCAACACATTATATTGTCCAGTTAAACAGTGAACTGTGTGTGAAACAGTTGAAACACATTATTTCTATGTCTACATAGACAATTTCATTTGTATATTTTTCTACAGAAGGCCATACTGGGTAAACTGCCAGCATATTTATGTAATCTCCTTAAGCAGAATTCCAGCAGTTTTTACCTCTGTTCCACCAGGTGGCTCTCTTACCAGGTTCCAAGGGTTTTTACTGAGCTGGGAATAAAACCTTCTCTTACTTTGCTTCCTGGTCTTGGAATAACTTGCAAAACTTGCTACATCTAAATGATCTAGTCCCATTAAATGAATTTAAAGCTATGTTAAAATGCCATGTAACTCAAAAATGTAACTGCCACATGTGACCTGTCCCTTTCCTTTATGTGTGATGCTTGTTTGTTTGTTTTGAGTATGCTGTATTTCTATTTAAATTGTAACTGGTGTGCCATCTGGGCCAGGTCTCCCTCAGAAAAGAGATTTCCTGGTTAAATAAAGGTTAAATAAAAAAAATTATTAAAAAATCTGTAGCTCCATCTGCAGCCTGATGCTCTCAGTAACCAGCCTCAGTGCTTCACCTCAGGACTGAATAACTGATGTTGGACAGATGAATAATTTCTATACACACTGCCCTTTTCACACAGACTAGATCAAATATGTGAGTTTTACCGCTTAATTCCTTTTTATCAGCATGATGTCAAATTTAATGATTTTTCCTGAATTAACCTTTTAAACCTATTTAAAACTGTACACCATCAGGGTGCAAAAAATAGTCTTTGTGTATGTGGTGACTCAAAATTTATAACAATGATTGTTCAGATTAATGGAAGTGTTAATAAAGGCACGCAGCACAAGTTCCACTCAAAATAAATAATAATAATAAATAAAATAAAATAATAATAGTAAAAAATAAAGAGTCCGCATGAGGGACCCCCATGGGCAACATTAATGACAGGTGTCCAGTGTCAACCAGGTAATAATATATATTCTTTTTCAATCATTGCAGACTGTAAAATGATACCTTTTGCAGCCAAGTGTAAATAGGATGCCACAGAATTGTTTGTCATTTCCAAAAGACAAACATTATGATTTACTGCTGACGTGAAACCCAAGCTGTACTTCTGCTATACTTTACTATTTACATACATTTCTGATTACTGCTCAAGTTACCAGCACTTCAGCTCTCACACTCAGACGCAGATGACGTTGAGTTTCTCCTCCTTTGGGCCAGGTCTCACACATCACAGGGTCACTGTCTATGGGTAAATTATTATAGTTGGGGATATTTGGTCTGTGCATGTGTTTGCTCACACTGACTGATCTTTAATAAATGCCAAGAAGAGTTTGATTAGCTTTATTTATAGATAGAAACTGTAACAATAATAATCCACCCCAAACACAATATATTGTAAGTACAGCATCAAACATGTTATTAACAAACCACAGCGTACATAAAGATTGTCAGAGAGCCACTAGATCTGATTGTTACACAGCAAAAACAGCCACTATAAACACAATATATTAAACCTTCTGTATGAAATAAAGCATATCACTACTTTTCAACAGATGTCCACAAAGTCTTCCATACTGTAGAAAGTTTGAAATTGAAGACAACATTTTAAGGGGCCATGTGTAGTTTTCCGTGGCCTCTAGCAGTCAGGTTTCAGATGAACTTTCCAGGACTGTGATCCTGTGCTTGGCAAAGTCTAGCTTAGCTAAAATGTATTGGGTGATAATGAAACAGCTGGAATAATTATTACAAATGAGATTGTTGCCACACTTAGTTTAACAGTTGCACCGTAGTAAGTAATGTTACTGGAGTGGATGGGTCTTCCGCTGTGTTGTCCTGCGCCGTTATGTTACATTATTGCATATTCTGTGGGTCACATACATGTAAGGCACCGATAACATTAGCAACAGGTCGGTGTTTTTAAAACAAAGCGGAAGTCTCACTGTGACTCAGATAACCATTTGTGACATTTTACAAAACAGACATTGTTTGTGGCTCTTCACAAACCTATTTTTCTAAACTGACTTGAAATACACATAGACACCAAGATCACTTGAAGATAAAATCAAAACACTAACTTGAACTTGTCACAAATGGCAGTGATAGCAGAAAATATTTGTGCAAAACAGAAATTGAAAACAAAGATGTGAATGGGCATTTTAAAAGTAAATCTAACTTTTTACCTTTCAAACAAGGGTCAGATCTTGAAAACTTAAATGAAATGAATAAGAATTAATAGCAGATGAAGTAGAGTTCCTCATTGCAGTCCCGTTTCTCCCACACTCCCCTTCTGCTTAAAGCACCGCAGCGTGTCCATAGTGGACACTGGTGGTCCTGATCTCCTTGGGTCCAGGCCTGGTACAACATAGGGTCACGGTTCACCCACAGCCAGCGGTCCTCCAGGTAACGCAGGCCGATCCACACCCGCTCAGTGTTTGGGTCTTTCTCTATTTCTTTCTGGGCCATAACGTTCCCGGTCTCAGAGACCAGGCTGGAGAGGTCACTGTGATTCTCCCTGCAGTGCTTCAGAGCCCCCTCCCAGGTCATCTTTATCTTCACCACCGTAATGCTGATGCAGTAAAAAGGCATTTGTTTTTTGTCAACAAAATCGGCCCATTTTCCATTTAAAAAGACCAGTGCATGGTTTTCAGTGTCATAGTTATCTGGTTGTCCACTACCCCAGTTGTAGTACGTAGCGTTTCCTCCTCCTGACCACTTCCAGGCAGTTTTGTTGCTGGAATCTCGGTAGAGACCGATCCATCCTCTGATCCATTCATCGGTATAATCAGCTTTCCATGTAACTGTAAGGTTCATACCTACATCTGAATTGAACTTGCTTTGCTCACCTTCGCTATCAATAAAGGAAAGATCAGTGTAGTGCTGTCTACAGTAACGCTGAGCAGAATCCCACAGCATTTTTTCTGAAATATAAACGTGTTTTCCTATATGCCCCTGAACAGCTGCGCAAAGAAAAAATAAGAAGATGGTTTTCATGGTCATTGCTCTGTATCTTAAGCTGAGAATATTTTCTTTGAATGTTTCTTCTCTGTGATGGTGCCTCTGAAGTCTCAATATTAATGATATGTATTTGCATGTCATTTGGTTTATTTGCACAAGCAAAGTACCTTCAAGGTAGACTTAACTCCCAAAGACAAAAACAAATAATTCATAATTATCTTCATTGAATAATTGCACAATGAATACTTTTTTTTAGAGTATTTGTTTTTGCACAAACAATCTTAAAAACAGATATCAGGAATTACATTTGATAAATACCACCTTCCTTTCCAGCTACCACTTCACTTATATTTTTTTATTTGACTGCAATTGGTACTTGAGGTGATGTACGTCAAGGCCCCTCACTCCCTGTGATTCCCGTCTGTGTCGACTGTTACTTCTCCTAGTGTCCTGTTGGCAGAACAAACTGTGTCTACAGTGTGCAGTTGTTTCATTGGTGCCATTTATGTGACAATCATGTCAATTTTTACCTGCTATTTGCATTTACTTTATAGAGTCCCGTCAGTCGGTCATTGACTTTTAACTTCACAGCATATCGGGCTGGCCTTGCTGTTGCAGTCATATGCTTGCTTGCCTTTTTAACTATAACTATAAACAAAAGGCACAGGCATATTGCAAAAATAAAGGTTGAACTGGGTCATATTGTTGTTCTTTGTGTAATGATTGATTGAAAGTAATATATAATTCTGACCACCAGTTGGGATGTTTGATGGAAATGTTTGCTTTTGTTCAAGTGTTGGCCAGCAACATTCAGTTTAGGCCTGTGTGTGAACTGTTTTGTAATCAAATGTAACTTCTGAATGGACAAATGTGTGTGACAAAAACTGTGACAGGCTTTTAGTGTCATCAAACTTTCAAGCACTTTGTATTAAAATCACCAAGAGCTTGCAGGAGCCCCTTAATTCAATAATCAATAGAGGCCAAACAGTGGATTAACAAATGTGTGCGTGACTGCCAGAAGTCACGAACTGACAGTGGTTTCAATAAATTTGCAAGCGATCAGCAGAAGTCAGTGAAGCCTGCTTGTTTATTTCCATTTGGGTCAATACGCGACGGCACGTTCTGCCTGAACTCAACACATCCTGCCCGCCTTTTGACTCCGATAAATTTCCATAACCTAAGTGAAATGCTTTTCTGTAATCTTCTGGCAAAACAGTGAACCTGTTACAAATCAGATTCTTCTTTGATTTGACATTTGGTGTCAAGCCCTCTTTCTTTCTTTCCTAACAATCAACAAGGACTTAAATACCAAAACAATTACAATAAACATTAAAAAAAATCTTAATCTTACCGGAGCACAGGCAGCCATAAATGAATCACAATGGTGAAGTGATTGTAGCCTTCAAACAGATCCTCTGCACTCATTGTCAAAGTCAACATTTGATCATCTAAACATGAACTCCCCCTGATGCACTATTGCTGTAGAAATGCGTTTGACTGAGGCATTTACATCATATTTAAACGCTGTGCATTAGTAAGATATCATCCATTTACATTTTCTAGTTTGTTGGGGAGGCTCATTGTCTGGGGAAAAAAAGGAAGAAAATGTGAAGAGGTGTTTAAAACTGACCAGAAAAATGAAAGTGACTCCATGTTTATATTATATTTTCTGAAACATTTAGAGAGAGGAAAGTGTGAGTGAATTAGTTGATCACCTTGTTGCTAAAGTTTGATGTTTATGAATGAGGGTTTGGAAATTCTTAGTAAAATGTTTAAGATGAAGCATGCAACTCAGTGTGCATCCTCCTCGTTAAATGAACAGCCTTTTAGTGTCATCAAACTTTGAAGCACTTTGCATGAAAATCATCAAGAGCTATACAAAAGTCAGTACAGGCCACACAATGGGTGAGTGACAGCCAGATGTCACACCTTGACACCGGTCTGCAAGGGACATTTATTTCCATTTCACCTTGAACAACTACTACAACCCAAGTCAAAGCCTTTGTGTAGTGTTTTAGCCAAACTGTGAATCTGTGAATCTCATTAGATTCTATAAAGTAATAGCATCATATAAACATTCAAACCAGCAGTGTTATTTGTGCTGGAGCTAGTGAGTCATAACTATTCTACACTGCACCTTTCAATTAAAAAGAAATAAAATAAGCCAAGTGCACACTCAGATTTCATCAATGAGCACAGCAAAGGGTCTGAAAAGGACCTAAAGAGGTGGATGCATAATCCGGCAGAACACATTTTGTAGGCTACATGCCGAGATTTGCATCTATTTCTTGCATGCAATTCTCGGCAGGCAGGCAAAATTCGGCACATCACTGGAGTGTAGCCACGGACAGGCATGGTCAGTTGGACCTGCCAGCCTAAAGCCCGGTTAATGTCAGGTTGCAGAATGCAGGCTGCCTTTCCTCTGACAGTCCTAGTTTTCAGTTTAGTTTTCGTGTGTAAAATCGCTGCAGTGATCAGACAGTCAGCCGCACAGAGCGCACCTAGACGCGGCGGTGGCGCACAAACAGAGTCACCCGGCACACCCAGGTGAAAAAAATATATACTTTATTGTATTTCAAACATATTGAAATTTTAAATAGTACATTTTAAATATACTAAGAAAGAAGCGTGTGTCTGTAAATATATGAAAAGTATACTAACTTTGAACAGACTTTAAAATAATTGTACTATAGTACACTTTCAAGAAATACATTATAGGCTATATGTAAAAAAGTGTACTATTTCAACTTTGTACACATATTTTTTGTATGTTTGAAAATGTATGCTCAAAATTATTAGTGTAACAATGCACTGAAAGCCTATTTTAAAATTAACCATTTTAATATGCTATAGTTTTAGTATATTTTAAATTACATTTGATTGTAATTACTAAGTTAACTTATTCATGCTTGTATTTCAGTGCGTTTATTTCTTCCAAAAATGCCCCGAAAGCCCTTTTATATTTTTCAACTAAGTACACACTGCAAAAAAGTGAGCTCTCAAAAACAAGGGGAAAAAGCATTAAAATGGGGGAAATATTACTTAAAATAAGCAAAATTATCTGCCAACAGAACAAGAATATTTCACTTGCAATTTAAGGACAAAAAAAACTTGAAACAAGTGAAATTCTCTAACATAAAAGCTGCCTGGTAAGAAAAAATATCTTGTCAGAACACAAAAAACATATAAAAAAGTATATTTTGCATTCAATTAAGATAAATCATCTTACTTAGATTTTAGTTTTTGAATTGCACAAACAGCTACTCGTGAAAAGTAATGTTTAATAAGATTATATTGGCAAATGTTAAAATACATCTTACACACAAACATGTCAAACAAAACACTAAACTTCAAAAGTACAGGTGCACACAAGAAAATCTGAGTTTTCTGAACAGTAAGAGATTTAAAACTGGAGCAGCCACTACATTATCTTTTTGCAGGTCACAGCTCTCACGCCAGACAAGTAAATGGTGGCTTCATTACATACAAAAACCGTCTGTTGTATGTTTTGAATAAATCTGCGGCAAGTCCAACCAATCAGTTTTGTTGCTCTCTTCCAGCCAATCAGAGCCAATTCCGCAAGAAGGAAAGCGGGAGTGTGCGCGTGCAAAAGAAACGCCCAGCTGCTTTCTTGGGAGGTAAAGGACTTAACATTATGTATTATGCAGAGAGTGGTGGAATAAGCATTCAGATCCTTTACCTAAGTAAATGCACCAATACAGCAATGTAAAAATACTTTAAAAGTCCTGCATGAAAAATCCCAACATTACTTAAGTTTAAAAAAAGACCAGTATCAGCAGCAAATGTAGTAAAAAGTATCAAAGTAAGTTTGTGGTTTGGTTCCAGGTGTTATATTGTGCATTGTCTAAAATATTCATCTTAAAAGTAACTAGTAACTGTCAAGGCTATGAAATAAATGTAATGTTAGTGGACTACAAAGTACAGTATTTCCCTCTGAAATATAAGTTAGTGTCCTCTTTCATGAATGTTACTTATTTTTAGTTGCTAAAATACTTGACACAAGTCAACCAATTATAATACCATAGTTAAGGTTAACTGGTGTGGAATTTAATTGATTATTATTAAATATTGTGCATAGTACAATTAAAATTCACATTTTTAGGATAATGCCAGCTATTTTTCTACTTTCACATTATAAATGTCACTGTCCAGGCAAAGAAGGCTGTTTTGTTACCCCAGACCTGCAGACCCGATCATCACACCAGTTCTGACGACGCCTTAACTTCCTGATATTGTAAGTCATACTTTTTTCTTAGCTGCTTGTTCTGTACTCTCTAAATTCTCAGACATAAATCCCTGTTTTAAGTTTCAGGGCAACAACTCGGGTTGAAGTTCAGTTTATCACCATTTATCTTTTGTCTTTGCCGGCATCCTCCGGTGTTCATGGTATTTAATATGTTACATGTGGATTATCTTGCACACCTCTGGTCAAACTACACTGTAGTGGGATATACAGACCAGTGTTTTCCAAAATAACAACTGATTTAAGCATATGTTTTTGTTATATTGCATGACCATGAGTGCCCAGGAGCTGGCTGTGCCCTGAGGTTTACAAAGGACATTATTGCAGTCCACCCTGATTGTGAAGTCGGGAAAGGGGGGCGGCCACCAGTAATTGTTTAATATATGTTCATGAACCGTAAACCATGGTAAACTCCCCGAAAGGTTATTATTACCGTACACATTTTAATTACCATGATAACCGGGTACTGTTAACCGCACTGCTATAATCTCACAGCCAACACTGTCCAGCGTCTCCCAGAAGCAGGCGCGCATGCGCAGAATGAAACGTGGGTTTGTTTGGGTCAATGACAACAGGCGGAAGACGCGCTGAGGGAAACTTGATTAAGGAAAATGACCTTACAGTGAACGCAGGGTGAGATAACTTTTAGCTTTGGTTTGTCTCTCTGACTTGCTAACAGCGTGTAAACTGAAGCTCTCGGTGTTGCTGCTCTTGTAAAAACGCTACACGTTGTTCTGCTGCTGTGTGCGTCGTGTGTCTGCAGAATCTATTCATCCCCTGCACAGATTAGTCAATTAGTCAAGCAACCAGCATCTCTAGAAACGCTGCAGACTGCTCTGTATTTCTGTCAGTTTTGGGGCTCATTGCAGTTTCTATCACTGTCTTCTAAAGACTTATTTGTTCTCATGTAATTGTCCACTGGGTCATTGTATTAACTATATAAAATAAAATATATAATCTTAATAATGCACACTTAGATGATTTTCATTTGTTTACAAAAGGGATTTGCTGTTATTTTATTTTTTATGCAAACAAAATAGCAATTGTATTTGTAGTTTTCAATATAAAACTTGTTGAAATGGTTTCAGTGTGTGTATCAGTACATTTTAATCTTTTTCTGCACATTTTTACAATACAGTGATAATACTGACAACCCTGATAATTTTGGTCACTATAATCGTGATATTAGATTTTCATACCGTTTCATCCCGAGTAGAAATATTGGCATACAATACAATTCCTCACTGCTAATCATTCAAAAATAGTATTGGTCCATACAGTTTTCCAAGGTAGTCTAATGGAACAAAATGTTGACCTTATCTCTTGCCTATTCTGCAGATCCTGCTCTTCAGGAGTTTCCACAGCCAAGTGCCTCTGATGTGCCAGACGCAAGTGTTATCATCAGCAGTTCAGCCAAGAAAAGGAACATAATGTTTCTGCACAGTGGTGCAACGAACAGGAATGTTTTTTTTTTATTATTGTATATTGTTCCACAGTGTTCTTATGAATGAGAAATGTGTTCAGTTTCCTACCGGAAAAATGTGACGTTCTCTTTTCATTAGTGAACTATATTTTTCATAATATATTTCTAGAAAGTGTACTATAAAAAAAATATGTCACAATTCTCAAGTGTGTTAAAAGTTGAATTGTGAAAATAGTTTGTAAACTATTTTATATTTACAGATCATACAATTCTTTGTCAGTATATTTGCAATGTGCTATTGAAAATGTAAATATATTTGAAATACAATAAAGCAACAAAACAAATTCCCCTGGAAAGTGCAGTAATTTAGCCTTCAGTATACTGGTAGCCTAATACATTTGCAGAACTGTAGTGTGTAAAAATGTAATATACAAAGTAGCATAGCAAAGTTATAATGAAGTATATTGATAATTAGTTGCAAAGTGTATTTTCTTATTAATTGGAATAAGCCAAAAGTATAACTGAGCATACTATTATTACAATACGAATAGTTTAATGGTAAGAGTATAGTCTAGTATATTTGTAAGACACTCAGAATAGATTTTTAATTTACTTATAACACAAATAAGGTACAGTTAATTTCCACTACTAAAGCATGTTTATTAGTACATATTAGCAAAGCTACAGACATAGTATCAATTTTTTCTGACTGGTCAATTTGTGGTCACTGTTTCATGTGCACATTGTCTATGCCAGTTGCAGCCACAGTTAGGTTTAATGCTGTTGTGATGCTTTTCATTGGTTCTCATGTTTGAATTTGCAGAGCCACCTATCTGCCAGTTAAATTTTCTCTGAAGCTGTCTTTAATATAGTCAGACGTTCACGAAAAAATATTGGAATGAAATTTGTAACTTAGTGAAATGTGTGATCAGAAAGAGAAAAAACATGGAAGAAATCATGAACTTACTGACAGAACATGAAGAAGAAATGAAGAATGTGGAAACTGAGGAGGAAAAGAAAAATCTGCAGGAAACACATGAGGAAAGTCTAAATCACTTAATACAGGAACTCATGAAACAAAAACATATCACTTTTAGAAAACGCTTGGTACCATGTTAAACATTTATTTAAATAACTGAAACTTTAAAGAGATTTCATTGTAATATTTTGCGGTGGACCACACTGTGATGGATACCATGGCCACAGAAATACTCATTGGTTGTCAGGTGTCTAAATCAGCAGCCAATAATATTAATCTGCAGGTCACCATAACAAGTTTTTGTCCCAGTCGATCATGTTGATCTGGATCTTACCTTAATAAAAATATTAAAAAACTTAATATTTGTTCTAATTAAATCTTTTCTTGTGTTTTTTCCTCTGTATTTTGGGCATTTGCTGAATAAAGCATGAAGTCAGTCCAGGAGCTGAGTGACTAAAAAAGGAGATAAATAGATGTAAATGTGACTGCTGCCTTGAAGGGAATGAGAGCCGCAGATTTGGCCCTGTGTCTGTGTGTCTGCTGCCCTCTGCTGGTTTCATGCTGCGCTCTCATTGGTTACTCCTCCTCTCCCTTCTAGACGTGTGTTGAACGTGTTGTGGATCAAACACATCTTAAGGGTTTTGGTCTCAGATCTCAGAAACCCGTCTAGGAGAGACACATTCTGACCAAGTGTTTTCTATAAGCCATATCTATGCTGACCAAAGATGTATTACAACATCAGGAAGTGGCCTTGGTATAAGTAAGTAGTATAAGTGTCTTCAAATGTAAGGGACAGAGTTTGATAAGTATTTCTTTATTATTTTTATGTAATCAATGTGTGTGTAATAAGCCAAACGTCTATCAAACTTTCAACTATTTTCCAAACTGCTGTGACTATCAGAAAACTAAATAATTGTTGTCATTAAACGTTTCATGTTGAATGGACCAAAAGTTCAGACGTTTTTCAGAAATTCTGCTGAGGCCCAGAACAACCTGCATTAGGCAGAAAATCACTCGGCCAAAGACTGAAGGCTTTAGAACCAAAGTGAAACATGACTATTTTTGCATTATTTTGAGAATTTATATTTATGTTATGAATATTCATTTTCATATTGTTCATTTTGTTGAAGAAATGTTTAATAAAATGGATTGATAATGCCAATAAAAAACATTTTGAACAAGTATACGGTTGGGTTATTTTTGAAACTGTAAATAGATAATAACTAAAATGAAAATGTAATTTATAAATTTTTTGCAAAGACAAGGACAAAATAGATTTGCAGTTACATATTTACAAGGTTATAGTCACGAATATTTAATAAGAACGAGGGAAACACAAAAAATCTAGTTGTGTTACTTTCAACCCAACTGATGAGGTTGAAAGTAACAATGTGCCGTTATGTTTAAAGTGAAATTATACAGAAGTCATTCAACATTTGTACAAAATACCACCTGATATTGATAGACCACACCTGTGAGTTAGTGACCACAGCAAAAATATATCACTGTCTGGAACCTAATCTTTTAAAATCAGGTAAATCAAATAAACAGTGTATTTTGAAATCATGAATTGTTTGGGGTGTGGCTAACTGCAAAAATAACTTAACTTGTGTACTTAAAACATGGCTTGTGTGCTGGTAAGCTTTACCTGAGCTGTTACCCTGTGTGGCTTAGGCCATCACATATTCACCGTCTGGGTGAAACAGCACATCTGCCCCAGTCAAAGAATTAAAGTCTTTAAATATCAAATAACAACACCAACAAAGAGTCAGGACGTTAATTCCTCTGCTCTCTCTTTGTCCTCTAATTTTATACCTCCTCCCTCTCTGCTGGCTGACCGATCAAACATTTAGTCACCAGGTTATATTAAGATTTTAAGAGGGATTAAGACACTGACCCCAGTTTAATTCCTCATTTCCTGTCATCTTTCCACTGTCTGTAATAAAGGAACAAAACAAAGGTTGTTTCCTGTAACTTTAAATATTATTATCCAACATGTTAGCGCTGAAATAATAAAGTTTTTTATGTTTTAGTCAGGTGTTCGAACCCAAAATTTGTGATCCAAGTTTCACTGATGAGAAAGTAACTAATGGATTAGATCTTTTTACTTTAACACTGTAATCAGCAGTAGTAGTTAGACATAATGATGTAATAATATATGTGGAGATTTTTTTAATTAAGGGAGAAAGTTTAAGTTGAGGAAATGAAGAACAGTTGAGCCTTTGGTTTCGGCGGCCGCACTGCAAGAAGAGAACAAAATCATTAACATCTCAGTTCAAAGATAAATGATGAGAGATAACGGACTTAAATCAAATCCTGAATAAATCTCACAGCACACAAACACCACATGGCTGCAGTGGAAGAACAAACATCAGGAGGGAGCCAACATATCCAGCCTGTGGCGCAGCAGGTATACTGGGCTGCCCGTTTATTACAGGGGTTCAATCCCCGGCTGCTCCTGTCCACATGTCAAAGTGTCCTTGGGGGGACTCTGAAACTGTCAGCACCTTCAGGATCGCTCGCTGCCATCGCTATGTGAGAAGCTGAAGCAGAGGCTAACAGGAAATGCCTTTGGATTAAATGCAATATAAATCTAGTCTGTTCAGCAGTTCATTGTTAAGAGTGGAAGTGATGCAGCTGAGTGTGTTTCCTCTCTGGGCAGGGCGTCTTATTCTGTTGATCTCCCTGCAGAGGTGTGGTCAGGTGACCCTGCTGCTGGGGATCTCTGACATTATGAACTCTGACTGACTTTCTGTTTCTACACCTGTGATTTAGTCACTATTTAACATCCTTTGTTCATGTTTTCTTTCTGTTATTTTGTCCACCTCTTCAAACTTTTGAAACATGAACACTGAAAAGCTTCAAGGTGCTTTATGTTAAATGTCATATTGATAATGATGTTTAATCTAATCACTACTGCAGGGTTTCATTATTATTCTGACTTAAATCAGAGATAACTGTTTCACTGGAGGTTTAAACTTGTCCTTTGCTTTAAAGTGTCAGCTGTAAAGAGTGAATCAGCTTCAACAGACAGAAAGTTAATCAGCGAAACTACAACACATAAACACATGATGGGAAATATCAATAATACAGTGAATATCCAGTATACTAAGCTTTATAAAAAACGTTTTCCTGCTCTTCTGCTTTTTTAACTTCCCTAGTTTCTTACTTTCTGTTTCACAGCTGATTGTATCACAGCAGAAAATCCAGCAGGTGAGTGAACTCGAGCAAAACTAGATTCATAAAACTATTAAAGTCAAAGTATTTTCTCTGTGTAGTTGGTGGGTCAGTGGAGCTGATGATAGAACTGCAGCAGGTTCCAGATTCACATTATTAACTGTAAAATCATCGAACTTCCTCCCGTCAGTCAGCTGTTCTCATCAGACTGGGAATATTCAAAGTAAATACAGTTCTTTTGATTTTGTAGGTGATGATGAGGAGCAGAGCCCAGAGAGTCTCAGAATTATACTGATAGGAAAGACTGGAAGTGGAAAGAGCTCTACAGGAAACACCATTCTAGGAAGAGACCAGTTTAAAGCCAAATCAAGTCAAACATCAGTCACCAAACTTTGTCAGAAAGCACAGAGTGAAGTGGACGGTCGTCCGGTCGTTGTGGTCGACACTCCTGGTCTGTTTGACAATAGTTTGTCCCATGAAGAGGTTCATGAGGAGATGGTGAAATGCATCAGTCTTCTGGCTCCAGGACCACATGTCTTCCTGTTGGTGTTACAGATCGGGAGATTCACAGAAGAGGAGAAGGAGACATTAAAACTCATCAGGGAAGGCTTTGGGAAGAATGCTGAAAAGTTCACCATCATTCTTTTAACTGGAGGAGATAAACTAAAGCAGGATAAAGTGTCCATTGAAGAATACATTGAACATAAATGTGTTAAGAAGCTGATCTCTGACTGTGGAGGAAGATACCATGTGTTTAATAACTATGATGAAGAAAACCACACACAAGTCAGTGAGCTGATAACCAAGATTGACACCATGGTGAAGGAAAATGGAGGCAGCTGCTACACCAATGAGATGCTGCAAGAGGCCGAGGCAGCTATAAAGAAAGAAATGGAGAGAATCCTGAAGGACAAGGAAGAAGAGATGAAGAGAGAGAGGGAGGAGCTTCAAAGAAAACATGAGGAGGAAATGGAAGAGATGAAAAGAAGAATGGAAGAACAGAGAGCAGAAATTGATCAGGAGAGACAACTGAGAGAAAAACAACTTAGAGAAAAAGAGGAGAACATAAAGAAGGAACGTGAGAAGAGAAAGAGAGAACAGGAAAAGAGAGAAGAAGAAGACAGGAAGAGAAAACAACAGGAAGAAATTAAACGACAGGAGTGGAAACGAGAGGTTGAAGCTTTGGAGCAAAATATAAGATCAGAGTCAGAATCAAAGGAAACCATTGACAGAAAGCTGAAGGAGAGCAGAGAAGAGATGAGAAAAGAACGAGAGAACTGGGAGAAAACACAAAATGAATGGTGGGAAAAACGATGTCAAGAAGACGAAGAGAGACGACAGGAGGAACAAAGAAGACTTAGAAAACTTCAAGAAGAATATGAACAGGAAAGAGAAAATTATGAGAAGAAAAGAAAGGAAGAGGACAGAATCAGAAGAGAAAGAGAGGAAAAAGAAAGAAAAAAACAGAGAGCAGCAATTGAAAAGGAGAGAAAAGTGAAAGAACAAGAACTTAAAGAAAAGGAGGAGAGGATAAAGAAGGAGCATGAGGAAAGAAGGAAAGAACAAGAAATGAGAGAAGAAGAAGACAGAAAGAGAAAACAACAGGAAGAAATTAAACGACAGAAGTGGGAACGAAAATGTGAAGCTTTGGAGCAAAATATAAGATCAGAGTCAGAAACAAAGGAAACCATTGACAGAAAGCTGAAGGAGAGCAGAGAAGAGATGAGAAAAGAACGAGAGAACTGGGAGAAAACACAAAATGAATGGTGGGAAAAATGAAAACAAGAAGATGAACAGAGAAAACAAAAGGAAAAAACAAGACAAGAAGTGGAGAGAATCAGAAGAAAACAAGAGGAAAAAGAGACCCATAAGACAGAAATGGAGAATCTGAAGAAGAAATACAGAGAGGAGGCAGAAAGAAAGCTGAGTTTAATGAATTCAAAAAGAAACACAACATTGAGTTTGCAGCTCAGAAGAAACAGTTTTAGAACTAAATGATAAATAAATTCATAAATAATACGGCACTTTTTACCTGCCGTGAAGAAAAACTAAGGAAAAAAATAAATGCTCTACATTATGGTAAGAAGTGAAAAGAGCGTATCGGCCCACTTAAAGCACTTATTCTGTGGAAAAGAGGAGAATTAAAGATCCAGATGCTTCACAAAGGACCTGTTCACCCAGGCTCTGATGGGGAAGGCTGTAGAGCAGGAGAACATTAACACAAGGCTTAAGGATTTAAAAAAATAAACTGATATAGGAATAGATGAGAGCTGAGAGTGTCTGAGGATGGTGCTGATTTGGAAGACTGGCAGTAAGAGTGAAACAGGAAACACCATTTTGGGTAAAGTGCATTTAAAATCCATTTTAAACAAACTCTTTTGTATATTTCTTTTTGAAATATGTATTTATGTTAATTATTTCTTTTGTAAACTTAATTGAAAATAATAATCAGCTATTTTGATAATCAATTAAAAGTTTGAATCCATTTTTTCAAGCAAAAATGGCAAAATTGCCTAACGGTAGAATTTGCTGTTTGTCTTTGTTCTTTGTCTACATGATAATAAAGAGAAGCTCTGTAGATTTTGGACTGTTGCACAAAATAAGTCAAATGAAGACCTCCACTTGGTCTGAAGGAAATAGTGATTTTTAAACAGTTTTTTTAAACTTTTAATCTCACATTCTTTAGCTCCAACTTGTCTACAAACACAGAAGTAGACCATAATGGATCTTATAATAACTCTCCTTATAATGCCTTTTCCTCGTGACCAAATGCAAAAGATTCCTCTACCCGAAAGATAGAACACCCACCCACTTCAGAAAACTGAGTTTGTGTACGCTTTCTCTCAGTTCTAAACTTCGTCCCTGTATCAGGAAATTGATAATTTCCTGGCCATTGTTCTAAATCTGGCCCAAAGTTTTGGAGGCAAATATCTAAAGGTTCCTGAATCGATCTCAGGTTTCGGCAGGAGCTTGGCCAGTTTTGAGGGCACAGGCAATCTCTAACAGGATATGATCATTTAAGGCTGTGCCTGGCTGTCGAAGAAACTGTGGATGTAAAACTGAAAGAAGAGCACCGGCTTAACCTCTGGTGGGAGGACAAAGCAACTGCAGCTGAAATAGCTCAGCTGGGAGAGCATTAGACTGAAGATCTAAAGGTCACTGGTTTGATCCCAGGAACTCGGCCAGTTTTGAGGGCACAGGCAATCTCTAACAGGATATGATCATTTAAGGCTGTGCCTGGCTGTCGAAGACACAGTGGATGTAAAACTGAAAGAAGAGCAACCACATTACTACACGCACTAACTAGTAGTTTAAGTACAGATAGATTATTTCACCTTCATACACTGTGCAAGCCAAAATAGCCTAGCGTCAATATCATCATGTTAAATATGTGTGCGGTGCACTGGGCTCTGTGCTGCTCAGAGAGCCAAGATAAAACAATAAGACAAGATGTATGTGCGAATGGACCTTCATGTGTGTTTTGTAAAAACCATGACTTCACCTGGAACATACCATACAGGGACAGTACTGGCAGCATCACAGCATCATACAGGGACAGTACTGGCAGCATCACAGCATCATACAGGGACAGTACTGGCAGCATCACAGCATCATACAGGGACAGTACTGGCAGCATCACAGCATCATTACACCACACGTTAACTGTAGCCACACATATTAGAGGTTATTTGCTCCTTCTAATTTAGGAAACCGTGAAAAATGCTATTTAGGTAAAAGTATATGTTTTTAATGATGAGGGAATACAATCAAAATATTTGCTTTAAAGCTCAAGAGTACCTGTGCTGCATTATCTCAGAAACATTATCCTATGCTAGATCGGCCTCTGGTGGGCAGATGAGGCAACAGCGTTTTTATAACATAAAAACACATGATAGGAAATATTAATAGTACATGAATACAGTGATGATGACGTTGAGGTTTCGCATTAAATGTGTTGATTTGTTTTTGGTTCATGTGTTTGTGTTTCTTAAATATGAACAGATGTGTTTAGAGTCCAGTTTTAAAAAGTAAAATGTTCGACGGCTGTTTGTAAATTAGACACTCAGAGCAGGTTGTCCCCGAACTCCAGAAGTCGGACATGATCGGGTCAGACACGCAGTGGCTGCTGGGAAACGAAGGCCTACTTATTTCTTTTTTACTTTCACTTCATGATTGTGTCGCAGAAAGAAACCCAGCAGGTGAGTGAATGCGAGCAAAACTAGATCCAGAAAACTATTAAAGTCAAAGTATTTTCTCTGTGTAGTTGGTGGGTCAGTAGAGCTGATGATAGAACTGCAGCAGGTTCCAGATTCACATTATTAACTGTAAAATCATCGATCTTCCTCCCGTCAGTCGGCTGTTCTCATCAGACTCACAGCTTGTTATTATCACACTAACTTCACTAACTGATGGTTTGTGTGTTTTGGTCTGAACCGAGAGTCCTGATCTGTTTTCAGTCCGTGTTTCAGCTCTAAAGTCTCTGAAATGAGGAGATTTACTGAGAGAAAAGTTTGTGTCAACATTTAGGCGGAAGCGCGCTGAAGACGCCATTTCAGATCACGAGAGGAGACATGACTAGAGGGTTATCTTATTATTATTGATGAGATAGTAGCATTAATAAATTAAGATCAATATAGGCCATTTTTCTTGCACAAAGATTTAATGAATGAAAACATGAACTGCTGTTTTGTCCAACTGGAATAAATATTATACTAGTGGTGAGCTGTATAGTATACTGTTACATAGATTGACAATGCATAGGCCTATAGTAAAATTAAATCAACATATTAATCTATCAACAGTATACTATTAGAGTAAAAGTTAACTTTGTATCGAATGTTATTATAATAATATAAATACTAATACACTAATTTACACTAGTTTCTCCTCCATGTTGTGGAAAGAGACTCTGCTGTGGAAAGATGCAGATTTCCACTGCACAGGTTTGTCAGTATGTGCTCCTTCTAGCCTCCTTCTAAAACTCAGAGTTTTATAGAAATATATTATTCTAAACAAAGATTTTAGGTAGAAAGGTAAATACTATATATTGTTGATCCCATCAGACACAAACCTCTCAGCTCCCGCTGCTGTCAGCCGACTGCCAACAGGTATAGCCTACTTGTATTTTTACCGGGATGGCACGGTTCCACCAGGTTGGTCTGTTGAATGCTGGACCTTTCTGAATATGCAGAAAGTATTGAACATGAGCAGATAAGTTATAGTCTTTCCTATATGCTCATTTATTTGTGGCGGCATGCCACAATATCAACGCTGACCGCAACATATTGATTTTCGATTTATATAATAACTGAATTAAAACGGATTAATTTATCACTGAGATGAAAAGGGGCCACAAACACATTTAAATAGGTTACTTCCCCACAAAAGAGGAGGTAAGACTTAATCATGTGTGTTGACTCAGCAGGGATGATATTAAATAAGTTGATCTACAGGAGAAAAATATTTAAAAGCAATAAAGTATGCCTGAGAGCCTCACTAGATTATAATCTGTTATAATTATATATTTTGAAATGTGACCTGAATTTTGTGTTTCCCTTTATATAATAAGACATTTTTACCATAAATTGGAGCACAAATTGGAGCACAAATTTTCACGAGAAAGTCTGAGCACATTGTTCAGTCTTCTCCAGAGCAGCCTTTACTGCCAGTTAACAATCTGAGGGGTCATCAGTCAGATGAACACCAAGCTTTATTTAGACATTAAACCTTTCATTCACAAACACCTCAGAAGAAAAAGCTTCTGATATTCCCTCTGTCACGTCACAGAATACCAACAGCAACTTCTAATGACATTTTCTCACATCTGATACAAATCAGCAGACTCAGAGCAGGACTGAGTTCTAACATATCAAGCATGTCCCACAAAACAAGCAACACGCAGCATTAAATCAATCTGTGTACACACGTCCCTCACACTGTCTTAATGAAACATAACCCACCAAATGAACAGGAACATTAACTCCATCCAGTTACCATCGCATATTACACTCAGCCTCCAAGAAACAGATACGGTGACCAAGTAAACAGCAGATTTCCCGCAATACTCAAGTTTTGTGTCTATAATTCCTTTAAATACATTGCACATTGCACAAAATAAGAATTATCAGTTATCACGAGAGGAGGAAATACTGTATGGTTTTACTGTAAATGTGCAGTAGGCTTATAAGGAAATCAGTGTAATCAGTGTGCTCTCTTTCTGTCATTTTTATTACTTTGAAAGAAGCAAATGCCTTTCTCCCAGCTGCAAAGATAAATAATACATTTTTAATATCTAAGGCCTTTTTAAACACATTTAAGAAACATGAGCATACTTCCACGATGGAGTGTTGGTGGTGTATAATTTCTTTTTCTAGTAGCTTAATTCTTCACCTTATTTTAGCGCTTGCTCACCTTTTGAGTCTGCTCCCTTTCCCTTTAGTTCTCATTTCCCCGCATACCTCTGCTGCAAACACACTTGCTTGCCCTGCCTCTTCCTGTCTCTCTCTCTCAGTATGTGTCTGCTCTGCTTTTTTTTTTCATCAGCAGTACGTTTTATAAAGTTGCCGAAAAGAGACAGAACTCGTTTTCTGGACTTCCACTCGATTCCATTTTCAGCAGCAGGTGCACCAAATGTGGAGAAAGCTTTTTAATGATATAGCCTATCAAAACGAAACCAACCTGGTAGCTAAGCAATGACATCTGCACTGGTTCACTGTCACTTTGCCTGGTCCGTGCTTGTAAAATATCCACAGTGCCCTGTATCGTAACAACTCTGTGTTTCTCTGCAAAATGCTAAAATGGGTCTCCAAATATATATACCTGGGCTTCACTAAGATCAGAAGAGCTGATTATTATAGTTAACATCAGTACTGGAAATGTAATCACTCATCCTCAGAAGAGTGTTCCTTGGTACACAGCTTGTATTCATCACAGGATCATCAGCTGAGCAGGAAACAGCTTTTCGTTCATTCACACATTATAGGCCATCCTACTGACAGACGGAAACACACTCTGACTCTCTGTCAGCTTTATATCAGTGACTTAGATAAATGTGCAGTTATTGTAGTTCAGTAAACATTCAAAAAAAGTATCATTTATTGTAGGAAAGGGACATCTATCTGATATGAAGCCATGGACATGGTTTTGTTTTGAGTGTTAAATCTCTGAACTTTATGGTCACCATTTTTCACATGTAGGTTAAGCTTTTTTTGTGGTTAAGCTTTATGTATTGAGGAAGGCTTTACTGATCTCTAGATCTCTTCAGTGAGACTTGTGAAATTACAAGGTGACAGAAAAACACTCACCATGTATTATATAGGATATTGTAAAACAATAACCCTTAGAGGTAAACATCAGTCCTTAGTTTTAGGGAAATTTTACACGTCTTTACACTGTTGTGTGCAGTAATCAAACTGGGCTCCATGTTGGCCTAAAAAAACATTTTTTTAATGATGTGGTTAAGATTTCAATTCTACCTCTTTAGGTTCTCAGACCCAGCAGTTGATCTTCTGTTGAATTCGTCTCTGATTTTTCCAGCAGAGTGACATCATGGCGGCTGCACCATCAGGTGAGTCCAGTCAGATCACATGTGTTAGTCTGGATAACACTCTTATCTCTCTGTCCACATACACCGATCAGCCATAACATTATGACCACTTGCATAAAATTGTGTAGGTCCCTCTTTTGCTGCCAAAATAGGCGGTGATCATTGAGACATAAACTTCCCTTCTCTGAAGGTGTGCTGTGGCATCTCTCACCAAGACTTTAGCAGCCACCTTCTTTCATTGCTCCTTGTTCCAGTTCTGATGCCCACGTGCACATTGTAGGCACTTTTGGCAGTGGACAGGGGTCAGCATGGGCAACCTGACAGGTCTACGGCTGTGCCGACCCATACGCAACAAACTGTGATGCACCATTCTATCAGAACAAGCATTAACTTTTCTAGCAGTTTGACCTACAGTAGCTCGTCTGTTGAATCGGACCACACTGGCCAGCCTTTGCTACCTATGTGCATCAATGAGCCTTGGCCGCACCTGCTGTCAGTGGTCATAATATTGTGGTTGATCAGTGTATTATACAGATAACTAAATAAATAGCTACATCAATAAATTGCTCAGATGTTTAATCAGGTCTGTTACTTTTTACTCCAAAGTAAAAGTAATAATATGACTTTTCTTATTATTGGGTATTTAAAGTAATTAGTTACGATACCTGTTCTGTTACTATAGCCTATTACTTTCACTACCCCACTATACCATCCTAAAAATTTAGCCAGAATATTTCAGAAATGAATTCACTTTATTGGGACAATAATGAACCTTAGGAGTCAACAATAAGTCAAACTGAAAGCACTGCAGCCCCTCAAACCAGATGATGCTGTACAGAATTGGCTATGTACAGTATAGCTGTATTAAAAAATAAATTAATAAAAAACAAAGCACTTTTAGAAAGGAGGATGTGCTTTTACAGAACATAACCTATAATGTTTCTTAACACCACTAGCTGAAATAAAACATAAAGCAAGTCACTCCCAACTGTCCAAAGAATGCCTATCTCCCTCGTTCTCCTTCTTCCTTAAGCTGTTCGGCAAGCAGCCGAATTGAACAACATAAGGTCTGGCTTCTCTACTTTAACTGCCCCTGACCTGCCGCGTAATTGCACATACACATCAAGGACAACAAAACAAAAAAACGTTCTGATAACACAATAACGCAGTGTTACTTGGATTAGTAACTGTAATATTATTACTGTTTGGAAATAGTAATCCCTTACACTACTAGTTCATGAGAAAGTAATAATACTAGTTCTAGAAGGATCTTGCTCTGCTGCAGCTCTCAGGTCTGTGTTTCATTATGTCCAGATGGAATCTCTGACTGTAGGGTGACTTTCAGATTGGGCCTCATTTTTGAGACCGCATGAAAACCTGAAGTGTTACTGTCACAAAAAGTCTACTTTAGATTACATGATTAAGTAAATAAGTAAACTAATACTGTGTCCTTTCAATCACAGATGGTCAGCGCCCTCTGAAGCGCATCAGAAGCTACGAGCTCCTGCCTCCTAACAGTGAGTCAAACTTAACTGTGTTATCCTGCTGTTTAAGAATATGTATACATTTGCAGTGAGTGAGGTACTTATCTGTAAGAAGTAACTGACCTGAAGTTAAACAGTAATTAAACTGTAAATGAATACATGCAAGTCTGCATTTATCTTTTTTCCACCTTTTCTAAATCTTTGTTTTTCAGTGTCTGAGCTGAGGGTTGTTCTGCTGGGGAACAGCTGGTCTGAGAGGAGAAAAGTGGGGAACTTCATACTGGGAGTGACTGGATTCAACACTGAGGTGGAACCAGACCGCTGTCTGAGAGTCAGTGGACCATTGGAGGAGAAAAAAATAGTTGTTATCAACTCTCCAGATCTGCTGCATCTCAACATCTCTCAACACAAACTAACAGAACATGTAAAAACCTGTGTGAGACTCTCTGATCCTGGACCTCATGTGTTCCTGCTGGTTCTACAGCCTGAAGACTTCACTGAGGAACACAAACTGAGGCTCTGCAGAGTCCTGGAACTCTTCAGTGATCGATCATTTGATCATTCACTGGTTCTGATATCAACACCCAGAGAGGAGAGTCCAGGTTTGATGGAAAAATACATGGAACAGCCTCCATTAAAAGACCTGATCAGAAAATGTCGATACAGATACCTGAAGCAGAAGAACCTTGAACGTCCAGAGCTGTTAACACGCTTGAGTCAAATCGTAAAGGAGAACAATGGAGAGCATGTCAGCTGTGATATGTTTGAGGACACAACAGCTACTTTACCAGCTGATCATCAAAGTCCAAAACAAAAGGGAACACACACTCTAATCATGGATGCTGTTAAAGCTACTGGTAAGTGCAGAAACATTTCTGACAAGGCAATGAAAACGTCTTTGATTAAATTAAAATATTAAACTGCAAATTAATAATGTCATCTTTTTACAGGACTGGTTAAAAAAATCACTGCACATTTCTCAGAGAAAAACCCTCATGGTAAGTAATTTCATGCATACTGTACATGCATTTTATAGGAAATGTGAAGCAGGCTTTTCTTAGAAATATTAAAATGTTCTTATTTAACATACAGTGCTGTGAAAAAATCTTTAGGCAGGTGTGGAAAAAATTATGTAAAGCAGCAATGCTTTCACAATTTCTACATGTTAATATTGATATGAGTATATTTATCAATTAACAATATATAAAGGGAAAGAAGAGTCCAGAAGAGTCCAGAAGTCCAGTAGAACAGTATATCCAGTATATCAATTTCATGTTTCTGACCCCAATATAATCTTTTCTAAAAAGTTTTGTTTATGTAAAACAGCTGTATATAAACAGAATTAGCAGGAGATTGAGTCGGTATATTAAGTAAATCTTTAAACCCATTATTTAGTATTTGTAAAATCTTGTTTTAGTTTATTAGTTGAGATTCAACAGTTTTACAAATAGGGCTTAGGGGTTTAGGCACAAAAAACATCTTTGTTACAGATGCTCTATTGATAATCAGTTAAACATCTGCAGACAAACAGTTGAAATCTAACAAATACTCTTTAAACTATCTGTAGGTGGACTAACCAAAGTTTTACAAAATGTTGACACTATGCTTAGAACATCGGCTCTGAAGAGATCTCCTCATGTCAGCCAAGTTTTCAGCCTCAGAGTGAGTTTGTCATTTTATTTTTCTGTGTTGTATTACAGCATCTGAATTCAGGATTGTGCTGCTGGGAAAAAGTGAGGACAAACAGACAAAACTTGGTAACTTCATTATCGGAGACCAAGATTTTATTTTCCAAAAACCTTCCCCAATCACTAACTTTGTGACCAATGGAGAGTGGAGAGGAAAAGCATTAACAGTAGTGAAAACTCCAGACATCTGCAGTCTGACTGAGGAGAGAGTGAGAGAAGAGATGAGGAGGTGCATCAGTCTTTGTCCTCCTGGTCCAAATGTTCTGCTGCTGTTAGTGAAGCCTTCTGATTTCACTGAGGAGAACAGACAAAAAATGAAGTTCATCCTGAGTTTTTTTGGTCAAGATGCTTTTAAACACTCAATGGTCATCACGACGCATGAGGGGAATATAACACATAGCTCTGTCAGCCAGCTGCTTCAAGACTGTGGAGGAAGACACTACAAGATGTTAAAAAATGACCACCGAAAGTTAATGGACAAGATTGAGAACATTGTGCATAAAAACAGAGGAACCTTCCTCACCTTCACTGAAGAGACTGAACACATCAAACCAGCTTTAAACCTGGTTCTGTGTGGGAGGAGAGGAGCAGAGAAGACTTCAGCAGCCAAGGCCATTTTAGCTCAGACAGAGTTTCATTCAGTCTCCAACTCATCAGAGTGTGTTAAACATCAGGGAGAGGTGTGTGGACGTTGGGTTTCCCTGGTGGAGCTGCCTGCCTTGTATGGAAAACCTCAGGAGGCAGTGATGGAGGAATCACTCAGGTGTATCTCCCTCTGTGATCCTGAGGGCGTCCATGTCTTCATCCTGGTCCTACCTGTGGGTCCCCTCACTGATGAAGACAAGGGAGAGTTAAAGACCATCCAGAACACATTCAGCTCTCGAGTCGATGACTTCACCATGATTCTGTTCACTGTGGAGTCAGATCCTGCAGCTCCAGCTGTTGTTAACTTTCTAAAGGAAAACAAGGACATCCAGGAGCTCCGTCAGAGCTGTGGAGGAAGAGATGTTGTTCTCAACATCAAGGACGAGCAGCAGATCCCAGAGCTGCTGGACATGGTGGAAAAGATGAGAGTTGAAGGATCCAGATGTTTCACAAAGGACATGTTCACCAGGGCTCAGATGGAGAAGGTTTCGAAACTTAAAGCTGAACTGCATGATCTAAAACATAAAAGTGAGATGGGAACTGATGACAAAGTTCAGAACAAAGAGCCTCTCAGGATGGTGCTGATTGGGAAGACTGGCAGTGGGAAGAGTGCAACAGGAAACACAATTTTGAACAAAGTACATTTTAAATCCAGAGCCAGTCAGAAGTCGGTGACCAAGTTTTGCGAGAAAGCATCAGGAGAGATTGATGGACGACCCGTTGTTGTGGTCGATACTCCCGGCTTGTTTGACACGACTCTGTCCAATGATGACGTCCAACAGGAGCTTTTGAAATGCATCAGCATGTTGTCTCCTGGACCTCATGTGTTCTTACTGGTGCTGCAGATCGGTCGATTTACAGGGGAGGAAAGAGACTCTGTAGAACTGATCAAGAAATACTTTGGCAAGAATTCAGGAGATTTCATCATCGTTACATTCACCAGAAAAGATGCACTAAAAAATCAAACATTTGAAAGTTACATAGAAGAAGACTGTGATGACTTTGTAAAAAAACTGATACATGACTGTGGAGACAGACACCATTTCTTCAATAATGAGGATCCAAATAATCGTACTCAGGTCAGCGAGCTGCTGACAAAGGTTGAGTCAATGGTGAGGAAAAATGGTGGCAGCTGCTACACCAGTGAGATGT